ATGGCCATATAGCCCGAAAAAACCTACAACAACCCAGTGATTCTGGCCATGAAAGCTTTCGATAATACATCATCATCATCATCATCATCATTATCATCATTATTATTATTATTTGAAAAGCAGCATAAGAGAGATATGGGGGGAGTTCCCTCCTTTCAGGACACTTCTGCCTCTTTTCAACCAAGGAGATGCATGACAGTCAGAAGTAGTTTAACTCATGTGATGAGCTCATTGCTTCTCCATGCTTGAAAAGAGGCTAAAGTGTCCCGTGATGGGGAAATTTCTCAATATGTAAGGTGGATGATCTGCCAGATAGTCTGACTTCCATACATAGCATGCTAAATGGTTTTAGAAAGTTAAATAATGGCATGGAACCAATGTATTGTAGTGGTTTCAGTATTGGACTTGCTTTCCACAAACCCAGGGATGAAATCCCTTGAAAACCATAAGATGACTTCAAGCATGCCACTCTATTTAAGCCCAAGAAGAAGGCAATGGCAAACCTCCTGTAAATAAATTTTTGTCAAGTAAACACTACAAAAGGGTTGCCTTCAGGTATCCATTGGTCGAAAATTACTTGAATGCATACAGCAACAGGTAGAAGGATCTGAATAGTGTAAAATATAATAACTTTCTAACCAGATTTTTGAAATGTCCTTGGAGTATGTGAAACGGAAGAGCGTTGGGGAGGGGGGCAGGAGATCTTGAGTTTAAAAGTCTGTGGGATATCAGATCTGAATACTGAGATACAGATCTCACTGGAACACTCAGAAGCCATCAATAGCATCAGTATTCCTGGAAGTAATTCCACAGTTCCAAGTTTTGATGTACACCCTGTCTCTATTTTTACTAAAATCCATTGATTTATAGCAGGGGTAGGCTAGATATGTGAGGTCAGTAGATGCTTATCTAGTTGGGCAAAAGCTCAAGGAGTGTGGTCTAAGGGAGAAGCGGACAAAACTTAGTATATTTTTACGTCTTAAAAGCCATTTGTTTGTTGTTCATTCGTTCAGTCATTTCCGACTCTTCGTGACTTCATGGACCAGCCCATGCCAGAGCTCCCTGTCAGCCGTCACCACCCCCAGCTCCTTCAAGGTCAATCCAGTCACTTCAAGGATGCCATCCATCCATCTTGCCCTTGGTCAGCCCTCTTCCTTTTTCCTTCCATTTTCCCCAGCATCATTGCCTTCTCTAAGCTTTCCTTTCTTCTCATGATGTGGCCAAAGTACTTCATCTTGGCCTCTACTATTCATAGAATCATAGAATCAAGAGTTGGAAGAGACCTCATGGGCCATCCAGTCCAACCCCCTGCCAAGAGCAGGAATATTGCATTCAAATCACCCCTGACAGATGGCCATCCAGCCTCTGTTTAAAAGCTTCCAAAGAAGGAGCCTCCACCACACTACGGGGCAGAGAGTTCCACTGCTGAACGGCTCTCACAGTCAGGAAGTTCTTCCTCATGTTCAGATGGAATCTCCTTTCTTGTAGTTTGAAGCCATTGTTGCGTCCTAGTCTCCAGGGAAGCAGAAAACAAGCTTGCTCCCTCCTCCCTGTGGCTTCCTCTCACATATTTATACATAGCTATCATATCCCCTCTCAGCCTTCTCTTCTTCAGGCTAAACATGCCCAGCTCCTTAAGCCGCTCCTCATAGGGCTTGTTCTCCAGACTTTTATCATTTTAGTCGCTCTCCTCTGGACACATTCCAGCTTGTCAACATCTCTCTTGAATTGTGGTGCCAGAATTGGACACAATATTCCAGGTTTGGTCTAACCAAAGCAGAATAGAGGGGTAGCATTACTTCCCTAGATCTAGACACTATGCTCCTATGGATGCAGGCCAAAATCCCATTGGCTTTTTTTGCCGCCACCTCACATTGTTGGCTCATGTTTAACTTGTTGTCCACGAGGACTCCAAGATCTTTTTCACACGTAGTTTCACACCTCCACCTCCCAAATGAATGGGAGGTGGAGGGCTACGTAAGAGCAGTGGCTTTTCCACCACACTTTATGGAACAAAGGCATCGGTTTTTCACACGTACTGCTCTCGAGCCAGGCATTGTCCCCCATTCTGTATCTTTGCATTTCGTTTTTCCTGCCAAAATGGAGTATCTTGCATTTGTCACTGTTGAACTTCATTCAACTAGATATTCTTGCCTCCAATGAGCAGACGGGCTTTATTTCCTGAAGTATGGACTGGTTGGATCTTCTCTCGGTCCAAGGCACTCTCAGAACCTTCCTCCAACACCGCAGTTCAAAAGCATCTATCTTCCTTCACTCAGCCTTCCCTATGGTCCAGCTCTCACATCCGTAGGTGACTACAGGGAATATCATTGCTTTGACTATGCGGATCTTTGTTGCCAGTGTGATGTCTCTGTCTTAAAAGCCATAAATAGACTTAAGAGTAAGACTACTTTTTGCTTATATTGTACTTATTTTATTCTTATTTACTTTTAGTCCTGCTTCTTTCTCAATATAGGAACTCAAGGCAGCTAACAGCAAACATGACACAATGCATATTAAAACAAAGCACATACACATCAATATGAAGCATAAAAATGAAAAATACAATTAAAACTACATTTTAAAATGACACGCCATCTCCAGAAGCTTGGCTTTCATCATTCCCATACTGGTGATCACTCCTACCTGAGTAGGATGCTCTTCCAAGCGTGGGGTCTTCGTGGCGGGTCCATAGGTGACTGTAAAGCCCTGTTCTTGACTTTCATGTTCTTCCGCTGTGAGGAAATCAGTTTCCAAATAGAAGGCGGTCCAAGTCAGTGTTGGCTTGATGCACCTTCTTGATGTGTTTCTCCCTTTTGCTCTCCTTTTGAGCCTCTTCAAAATCAGCAGCATGGGTCACAGCTGACTTCCAGCTGTTAAGGGCCAGGACTTCCCAGTTTTCAGTGTTTATGCCACAGTTTTTAAGGTTGGCTTTAAGCCCATCTTTAAATCTCTTTTCCTGTCCACCAACATTTCCATTCCTGAGTTGGGAGTATAGTAACTGCTTTGGGAGGCAGTGATCGGGCATTCGGACAATGTGGCTAGTCCAGCAGTTGATGGTGTAGGATGATTGCATCAAGGCTGGTCATCTTTGCTTCTTCCGGCACGCTGACGTTTGTCTGTCTGTCCTCCCAAGAGATTTGCAGGATTTTTTGGAGAAAATACTGATGGAATTTTTTGGAGGAAACACTGATGGAATTGTTCCAGGAGTTGAGTGTGACTTCTGTAGACAGTCCACATTTTGCATGCATATAACAGGGTTGAGAGAACAATCTATATGTATGTGGAGGGCAGACGTAGGTGTATGTGGCAGCTTTCTGATTGGCTGCCACTGTGGTACAATGCAGCCAATCTCAACATTCTAACATTCTGATTGGTTGCCACTGTGATATAATTTGCATATGGTTTCTGATAGGCCAGCCTCAACATTCTAACATTCTGAAGTGGCTGAGAGGGAAAAGGTAAAGGTCTGAGGCTTTCAGGAATGGTGGGAATTGAAGTCCAAAACACCTTGTGGCCCCCAACAATGACAGAACAAGACCAAACTTGGCACACAGACCCCCCCCCCCCAAGACCCACTCTACATCCTGGTGCATTTTGAGGGAGGATGGACCATGGATGATGGGACTTGCACTACTTTAACTCACTACCTTATAGCACTGTTGCCCACACCAATGACAGATCAGGACCAAACTTGGCACACAGAGGCCCAATGACCCACTTTACAACCTGGTACAATTTAGGGCAGGATGGGCCACGAATGATGGGATTAGCAGTACCTTAACCCGATTCCCTTCCCACAGAACACTGCAGCCTACAAATCACAGACCAGGCCCAAACTTGGCACACAGAGTACTCATGACCCACTCTACATCCTTATGCAGTTCTAAGGGGGATGGACCATGGATGATGGGATTTGCAGTACTTTCACTCACTTACTGAAACCACTGTGACCATCATCCAATGACCAATAAAGACCAAACTTGGCACACAGAGCCCCCAGGTTGCAGTTTCGAATCCGGGGAGAGGCGGATGCGCTCCCTCTATCAATTCCAGCTCCTCATGCGGGGACATGAGAGAAGCTTTCCACAAGGATGATAAAACATCAAAAATCATCTAGGCGTCCTTTGGGCAATGTCCTTGCAGACAGCCAATTCTCTCACACCAGAAGCGACTTGCAGTTTCTCAGGTCATTCCTGACACAACAAAAAAAAAAACCCAAAGGGGACTCAGGGTGGAGCACAGCATATACACGGCAAACTTTCAATGCCGGGACACAAATTCAAATGCAATACATAAACATTAAAAAAAAATTATCAAAATATAAAAATACACCATTTAAAGCCGTCCTAGTCATCCGCGTGAAATCTAATTTGCCTGGTCATCTTTCCTATTGCTGCTTTATTGCCCTGTCCCGAAAGCTTGGTCACACAGCCAAGTTTTTACCATCCTTCTAAAGGACAGGAGGGAGGGGGCCTACCTGATATCACCAGGAAGGGAGTTCCATATCCGGGGAGCAATCACCGAGAAGGCCCTGTCTCTCGTCCGCACTAATCGTGCCTGTGACAATGGCGGGACGGAAAGCAGGGCCTCCCCGGAAGATCTTAATCTCCGCAATAGTTCATAGGGTCCTGGAAGCTGTAGACCGAATAAATAAACAAACAAATAATATTCCCAAATTCTTCAGAAATTCATATTTAGAGTCTGCTACCTTTTAACAGAATTATTCTGTAATGCAGAAATAGAATTATTGCTCACACAAAACTTTGCATGTGCTTCATCAGTGGGGATGCTCTCGGATTCTCAGAATATCCAGACTTATTCTTGGCATGTTTTTCTACATTGTGCATTTAAAAGTATACCTTGCCTTTCCACCGTCAGTAGTTAACCAAGGCAGTTAGCTTACCAACAGAAATAAAGAAGTACACTGTAATTTCCAGCTTGGAATAAAAATCAAAGGATGTCCACTCACTAATTGCTTCATTTCTTTGTTTCCTCAGAAGAAGAACATAATGCTGACAGCTATTAAAGAATTCAGCCCAATACATGAACAAAGGACATAGCAAGTTTTCCCTGTGACTTTCTGAGGACATTTGCCTTCTCAGGTAACTTGCATTACTTCTGTGGGCTAAACTGTGGGTGAGGCAGTAGAGAAGGGGTCCTCAAACTAAGGCCCGGGGTCCGGATGCGGCCCTCCAAGGTCATTCACCCGGCCCTCGCTCAGGGTCAACCTAAGTCTGAAATGACTTGAAAACACACAACAACAACAATCCTATCTCATCAGCAAAAAGCAGGACCACACTTCCCATTGAAATACTAATAATTTTATATTTGTTAAAATTGTTCTTCATTTTAATTATTGTATTGTTTTAAAGTGTCTTTTGCACTACAAATAAGATATGTGCAGTGTGCATAGGAATTCAAGGTTTTTTTTCCTTCAAATTATTATCTGGCCCTCCAACAGTTTGAGGGACTGTGACCTGGCCCTCTGTTTAAAAAGTTTGAGGTTGGTCTATAAATCCCAGCAACTACAACTCCCAAATGTCAAGATTCTATTTTCCCCAAACTCCACCAGTGTTCACATTTGGGCATATTGAGTATTCGTGTAGAGTTTGGTCCAGATCCATCATTGTTTGAGTCCACGGTGATCTCTGGATGTAGGTGAACTACAACTCCAAAAACCAAAGGACACTTCCCACCAAACCCTTCCAGTATTTTCTGTTGGTCATGGGAGAACTGTGTGCCAAGTTTGGTTCAATTCTATCATTGGTGGGGTTCAGAATGCTCTTTGATTGTCGGTGAACTATAAATCCCAGCAACTACAACTCCCAAATGACAAAATCATAATTTTTTTGAGTGATGGTCACTCCTTGGGTTAGTAGGTGTCTTGTGATGTGACTAAAAACACACCGAGCATTTTTATATACTGTATATACTCGAGTATAAGCCTAGTTTTTCAGTCCTTTTTTAGGCTGAAAAAGTCTCCTCTGGCTTATACTCGAGTCAATGTTATTTATTATTTTACTTTGTTGTTGTTTTGTTGTTGTTGTTGTTGTTACATTTATTATTTTATTATTATTGTTGTTATTATTACATTTATTATTTTACTCTATTTATTATTATTATTACATTTATTATTTTATTATTGTTGTTATTATTACATTTATTATTTTACTCTATTGGCACAATAACTCTATTGTTATTGTTACATTTATTATTTTACTCTATTATTATTATTATTATTTTACTCTATTATTATTGGAGGACATGTAAGCATATTTACATTGAAGAAGGTTAGAATAATGGTTTAATCAGAGTTGGACAGTCTTATCTTGAATTACAGTTTTATGTAAATATTCAAAACCATTTAACCTACTGATGCCTAAATTAATATAATTTTATTGGTATCTATTTTTATTTTGAAATTTACCAGTAGCTGCTGCATTTCCCACCCTCGACTTATATTTGAGTCAATCCATTTTCCCAGTTTTTTTGTGGTAAAATTAGGTGCCTCGGCTTATATTCGGGTCGGCTTATACTTGAGTATATACGGTATATAGATCGATATGTTTTGTTTTTATTATATGTTATGTTTATATGGTATTTATGATATTGTAAGCATTGAATTTTACCCTGTTAACCGCCTTGAGTCGCCTACAGGCTGAGAAAGGCAGCATACAAATACAGTCAATAAATAAATAAATGAATAAATAAATGGAAAGAAATTCCACCTAAACTTTTGAAAAGTCTTCCTGATGTTTAGAGCTGTTCAGCAATGGAATATTCTGCTTCCTCAGAGTGTGTTGGAGTTTCCTTCTCTGGAGATTTCTAAGCAGAGGCAGGATGACCAACTGTTGGGGGTGCTTTGATTGTGGGTTCCTGCATGGCAGAATGGGATTGTACTGGATGACCAAGCCGCACCGAGTCCTTCGGGAGATGTTAGTGGGGTAAAGTGGGGTAGTGGGGTAACAAATAAAGTTAATGTTAGTGGGATAACAAATAAAGTTAATATTTATTTATTTATTTATTTATTTATCGTGTCATCCGCAACCAGAACATTGTATTACATTTCTAACTGAACAAAACAAACAAACAGATAAAAAAACACAAATTTTGCAAACTTGGTAGCTGATTAAATGTCCTTTGACTAGTATCTGGCCACTTGGAGTGCCTCTGGTGTTGCTGCAAGAAGGTCCTCCATCGTGCATGTGGCAGGGCTCAGGGTGCATTGCAGCAGGTGGCCTGTGGTTTGCTCTTCTCCACACTCGCATGTTGTGGATTCCACTTTGTAGCCCCATTTCTTAAGATTGGCTCTACATCTCGTGGTGCCAGAGCGCAGTCTGTTCAGCTCCTTCCAAGTCGCCCAGTCTTCTGTGTGCCCAGGGAGGGAGTCTCTCATCTGGTATCACCCACGGATTGAGCTGCTTTGTTTGAGCCTGCCACTTTTGGACTCTCACTTGCTGAGGTGTTCCAGCGAGTGTCTCTGTAGATCTAAGAAAACTATTTCTTGATTTAAGTCGTTGACGTGCTGGCTGATACCCAAACAGAGATGAGCTGGAGATGTCTCTGCCTTGGTCCTTTCACTATTGGCTGCTACTTCCCGTCGGATGTCAGGTGGTGCAATACCGGCTAAGCAGTGTAATTTCTCCAGTGGTGTAGGGCGCAGACACCCCGTGATAATGCGGCATGTCTCATTAAGAGCCACATCCACTGTTTTAGTGTGGTGAGATGTGTTCCACACTGGGCATGCGTACTCAGCAGCAGAGTAGCATAGCGCAAGGGCAGATGTCTTCACTGTATCTGGTTGTGATCCCCAGGTTGTGCCAGTCAGCTTTCATATGATATTGTTTCTAGCACCCACTTTTTGTTTGATGTTCAGGCAGTGCTTCTTGTAGGTCAGAGCACGGTCCAGAGTGACTCCCAGGTATTTGGGTGCGCTGCAATGCTCCAGTGGGATTCCTTCCCAAGTAATCCTCAGAGCTCGGGATGCTTGTCTGTTCTTAAGGTGAAAGGCACATGTCTGTGTTTTAGATGGATTAGGGATCCATTGGTTTTCCCTATAATAGGCAGTTAGAGCACCTAGAGCTTCGGAGAGCTTCTGTTCAACTGTCTCAAAGCTCCCTGCTGGAGCGCTAATGGCACGATCATCAGCATAAATGAAACTCTCTGTCCCTTCTGGCTGTGGCTGGTCATTTGTGTAGATGTTGAACATGGATGGAGCGAGCACGCTCCCCTGAGGCAGGCGGTTCTTCTGTTTCCGCCAAGACGGTTGACTTAATAATAATAATTATTATTATTATTATAATGATCCTGGTGGTTTCTTCCAACACTATACCGTATATACTCGACTATAAGCCGGGTTTTTCAGCCCTTTTTTAGGGCTAAAAAAGCACCCCTCGGCTTATGCTCGAGTGAGTGTCCTGGTGGGAAGACACGAGGATGAAAGAAGCCATTCTTTAAGCCCCACACCTTCCCACTAAGACCCTCACCTCTCCGCACATAGAAAGCATGGGCTGAAGGGGAGAGTGAAAGTCATACCGAGGCCGAATGAATATTTGGTGAAGCTCACAGTGTCATTATTAGTGTGTGTATTGGAACACAGCAGCCGAGCTCTGGAGTTGGCATGGCTCTGACAATGCTTGTTTATAGATCCAGTTAGTCCTGCAGTCATTCCCCCGCCCATCCTTGCAGGCATTGCATCCTTTCCGTAGGACGGGGGTGGGCCAGATATTTGGCTGCTTCTCAAGAAAGTTGGTGATTAATAATTCTGGGTGGGGACTAGGCAGTGTGCTTGCATTGTGTTTGAAGTTTGGGGGAAGTAATTTTCCTTCCTAGTCCTCCATCCTTCCCGCCCCCAACCTGGCATAGCATGTTTCTCCCTCCCTGCCCCAGGGCCAGCCCTTTAACTCTGAGAGGCATGCGTTCGAGGAGGAGGTGTGGCCCCCGGACTGGTATTAAAAGTGAAAGTTGAAAGGCAATACATTTTAATGAAACAACTGTTATTAGAATAGCTGCTTTGTGTCTCTGACAATAATGCTAAAGTTGTTAAGCACAGACACACCTTAACTGTTAGACAGATGTTTGATTAGATGTAGGGATCTCATTACTGCAACGCTGTACATGCTATACAAGTTGGCTGAAAAGATCAAAGTCGCAAGTTGGAAAAGCTGGAATATTAAAAATGTGTGTGTTGGGGAGGGGGGGGAGGGATAATTTGGCAACGCCAACCAAAGCCTTCGTGCTGATATCCCAAATCTTGCTCTAGCCTGGTATAACAAATTGCACCGCTGCCAAACCAATTACAACGAATTGCACTGCTGAGCCAAACCAAGTTATAACGATCAGCAGGAGCCTACCAAATTATAACGAGGCACACCTCCACTATAGACTAGCTCACCAAAATATAGAGGAAGAATAGTTGTTGAACCAACTGAATATTTAAAAGCTTTGCCCATCAGGTTTCTCCGTGCAGCACCAGCCGAGATCTGGAGGGCGAGGAGGCGGGGTTGCACGGAGATATATAGAGATACCATCCCTCTGACCAGGGGCCCCATCCCCCAGTCAACCAATTTTGAATGTGTCCATCAGAGGGTGGGTAACCGGGACAGAATAAGGATTCTGTTAGTGTACCGTCCACCTCGCTGCACTACGGTCTCCCTACCTGAGCTAGCGGGGTGGTCTTGAGCTTGGCATTGGAGTCCCAACGGCTCCTTGTGCTGGGGGACTTCAATGTACATGCCGAGGCTACCCTATTAGGAGCGGCTCAGGACTTCATGTCTGCCATGGCAACCATGGGGCTGTCCCAGCAACTACAACTCCCAAATGTCAAGCTCTATTTTCCCCAAACTCCAACAGTGTTCCCCTTTGGGCATATTGAGTATTCGTACCAAGTTTACCCCAGATTCATCATTGTTTGAATCCACAGTACCCTCTGGATGTAGGTGAACTACAACTCCTAAACTCAAGGTCAGTGCCCACCAAACCCTTCCAGTATTTTCCATTGGTCATAAGAGTTTTGTGTGCCAAGTTTGGTTCAATTCTGTTGCGAGTGGATGCTTTTTAATTGCAGGTGAACTATAAATCCCAGCAACTACAACTCCCCCTC